ATTTTCAACCAACTCAGTAAAGGGAAACTAGTACTCTCTAGTGTCCAGCATTGGCATCACTTACTTATCTTCAATCAGTCATCTATAGATACGCTTTTAGCGTCCCATCTGCTCGTGTAGTGATCGCCTGAGATACATTTCCGTGACATACACATCCGATAATGCACTTGATCTTGATAATAAGTCTGGTATGAGGGCATGGAATGAGCTCACCCGTTTTGACTAGTGATTGCATTATTTCTGGATTGATCACTAACCGATCACCACAGGTACAAAACACAGCTTGAAACGAGCTGGTTCCGCCTCTCCTGACATCGCCCCGACTAATTGCGGCGATATCAACTGGTCAGAGATGATTACTTGCTCTTTTCCGTTTTGGTTTCTCAAAATAATAATTGTCACTGAAGTAGTGATGGTCGTGGCTCGAAGCTGTTTGTTACAGAAGTACTTCATTTCTGGTGTGGAAGCATACAACAGTGAAGACTGGAATCAGTGCGTCAACGACCTCGAGATATCGCTTGAGAAAACCATGGAGGAAGACTCAAGGTCATATTCATTTGGGCGGTTTCGGTTCAAAAATTTTAGACCCATAAGGAACTATGGTATGGTTAAAAAAATAAGCAACTACATATCTACGCATACTATAGTCTGTGCCCTCTTGATGTTTCTTCGACGGTGCCGACTTATGAGTTTCCGTTCGTGACACCGCCTACCTTCGATGCATGCTCCGCCCACAGAGGGCGGAGGTTGGCTTGTCTTCTGTGTGCTCTGGACATCTTTTCCCCTTCCCCACCCATCCCAAGCCTGACATGAGCTCTTCAAGTCGCTCTTCAGGTTGAACCGAATTACCGGGCAGACCCACAGACAGACGGGCAGGCAAACAGCAAATAGATGTAGCATCCTTATATAGCAGGAAGTGTGCCATTAGGGTCACGAAATTGGGTTTACACCGTGGCGTCGACACCAGCGTCGCACTCCGAGACATTCTTCCACTCATAATGGTAGAAATGCTTGACTGGGACTAATCGCGTGGGGGGGGGGCGGGACCAGCGCCCCAAAATAGATTTTTGCGAGCATAAGGTACAAACAGACAGCTCAGACTTACGTGGAAACCAACGCAGTACGATTTTGTCTGTTTCTAGCACAGATCAAGCAGGATTCCATCAATGTATGTGATTCCAGATGTCGACTCCTTTGCGAAGACAAAATCGATTGGAGTGCGATCGTGGGAAATCCCGAGCTAGACGTACTCATGACAAGTCAGTTCAAGTGGGTGCAGGTTATTACATCACGTGGCCGGCCGAGGGCGGCTACAAAGGGACGTTTGCAAGACGGCAGTCCTGGTGTGTAATCTGCCACGGGGCCTAGCCTAGGTCAAGTCAGCTAGCTAATGTTAAATTTTTTACTTACGTATGGTACGCACCGGCCGCCGCAACGTGGATATAATGAAGTGCACCGAATTTCTAGACACATTGATATTTGCCTGAAATTAACAGCGGTTGTCAAAATGACCAAGAGATTATTCAGGCATGCAAGCGTCTGTTCTTCGATGTCAGCACAATTGCCTTTATCGGTTGGCTCTGATCAATGGCTACAATGTAGGAGAATTGCCAGCAGCACATTACGAATACTTACACTACTGCTACTTCAAGTGTTAGTTTAGTACGAAATTTTTTGCTCAATATATTTAAATTCGAAAATGTAGGAAGATATACTCGAAATCCCTAAGATCGGGTAGGCGTGGCCGCATGCTTCAACGTAACCTGAAGGTATCTATGCTTCTGGTGAGATATTTTCATCTTGACACAATTGTTGTCGTGTCTCTGTCCAACACAGAACAAGATGACAGTTGTCCCAGACTGGAATATTCCACGAGTAACCAATTCCGTGCCATGTTCAAATGCCACGCCTACTCTGGCTCAGGGATAAGGAGTGTACCATGAACGATCGCTAACCGCTGTGGAGTGTTGCGGTATGTCGGGCTGGTTTGTGCAACGCCAGCTTGTTTTGCAACCCCCCAACCGCGTGCCTTCCCTTCTTCAACAGTTGGCAGCTTTCCCTCCACAACGGTCTGGCCGTGCCAAACCCGGCCTCCCTGGCATGCCCCAACATCGAACAGACTATACCAACGTGCTCGGAGGAGGAGGGATGGCACGTGGTGAGACCAAGCAGCGCTCACGCTGGTGGCGTGCTCTCGTCTGGCGCTTTCTAGAGCTGAGCGTAAGGGGTGAAGGAGGGGGGGGGGGGTCGGGAAATAGGTATGATCTTTTTCGGAGAGGAGGCGCAAAAGAGTAGGGCTTAGTTGCGTCCCCTCTGACGATTACCTTATGCCTAGGCACTTCTTGTGCACTACTCTACTGGAGAGACCTTATACTTGGCGCAAACGCCTGGTGTCCTGAAGAATAATAGTGCCAGCACAAAACATGCTCGAAAACACCATATTCATCGGTAGCTTGTCTACAGAGCAGCGACTTTCTGGACAAGGAACACTGAGCTGTTTTGCTCTCAGCGGCACTCGGCGGGGCGTTTTATAGGGGTCAGTTTAGGCGAGGCGCCATTCGCACCAATCGCGGAACACCCCAGCGTCCGCAGAGGACAAGGTTGTAATGATTTTGTGTGACAAATCATTGAAACGCCTTAAATGGCAGTCCGATTGGATTTCACAAGTTGGCGCGAGCGCTAGGCTTTTCTGCGCCAGGCGAGTGCGGTATGGTGAAACCGCTCCGGGGGTCAAGTAAAGCACTTTTCCTCTGGAAAAACACTCGCCACATAAAGACGCTACGTTTGACGGCCTCTCCAAAGAGATGGTACGAGGAGGAGTTACTTCCTCATTCAAGCCCCCTTGCAATCTCGTAAAGAGAAGCCCAAAGTGTGAAAGGGTGTAATTCTCAAAGTAGCTCTGCCCATCCCATGCAATCAGCGTGGAATGTGTCCTTTAGTCATTGTGTAGGCTACTACGATTAAAAACGGAAACCCACGGTGCATTTCAAAATGGATCTCTGTTAGCCTCGGAAATTTTCAAATTTATTTTTGTTATAGAAATATTCCACAACCATCATTCATTGCAGTGATGAGAGGGACCGAAGCAGCTCGATCTGTAGCCAGTTACCTACTGTTCGACGATAATCCTTTGATGCGACGAAATAAGTACTACTATCTCAAGCAGTATGAAAAACCAGAGCTTTTCGTGCCTGATAAGGTAGAAATTTACTGATTTTTCGTGTATTCATTGCAGTCTTTCTGAAGATCCGCTTGCCGCAGCGCTGCCGCGCGCGTCTCACTGTGACCGTCTCAAAAAGTCCGTTGATCGTAGTGGCAGTGTGTGTGTATAGATGCAAGCAGAATTACGGGCGCTTTTCTAGGAGAAAGGGGACATTTGAAGGACCCCTCGTGCAGGTTTGGGATTACCGTAATAGTATTTTTATATGTCCAAGACTATCACAGCTAGCTATGGGTTGGGTGATCTAATACGGTACTGTCATCTGACTATGGCAGAACCTTAGTTCGAACGGAATCACCCATACGGTAGCTTCTCGAACCATTATGCCTGTGTTTGGGAAGTGAGGGGGAGGGTCTCAAAAAGTCTTCCTACATTGCAACAGTCTTTATTTTGCCCCAGAAATCCTGCATGCTGAATATTTCCCTCTAGCGACTTTTGTCCAAAATCATACGTTCCAGAAAACAATCGAGATCTATAAGCAACGCACACTGGAAGCTCGTTACCTGAAGTTCATCGACGAC